TCAGTGGAGCTTTAAAAAAAAAAAAAAAAAAAAAAAAAAGTCTTGGGGGGGGAACAAAGTGTCCCTACACTCCTGTCCAGGGGAATGCAGTTTCTGGGAAAAGATGACATGACTGAGATGACATCTTCACGGACACGGGGAGCTGTAAAGCACTGCCAGACTGCTCCGTTCATATCTTCCTTCAATTAAATTAGCATGATGCTGAAATGCTGCTGCGGTGTCAGAAGCTAATGGCCGCCACTGTTAAACACACACCGTTTTGAGGTGCATCAGCAGAGCCTGCTAAACAGGCAAAACCGGAGATTCATTTGAAAGTCAATATTTTTAATATTCGTTAGTTGCTCTCTTTCAGGATCTGTCCCAAGACCACATCATTAACTAATTGACTTAAACGCTTGCCCTGTTTCCATATAACCCGTATAAACCCCAACCCCACGCTGCCTGTAATGCAACTACCGCCCTTTGCGTTCTGCTTTAATTGTGTTTTTTTCCTCTCATTTAAGAGGAGGGCTGTGACCACCAAGGCTACCCTGCTTGCTGGCAGAGCTGGGTGCCACGAGCTGTCCCCAGGCACAGCACGGACAGGGTCACTGCCAGGAGATGCCACCCGTGTCCCCAGACCCACCATCCAGCTTCTGCTCCTCGAATGCCGACTCCAGCGGGGGCCCGAAGAGCGGGGCCAGCGCAGCGGAGTCCTCCCCAGCTTTCTTGCTGCAGGACAAGACAAGCACAGAGGAACCATGAGGTTCAGGTTTGTACTCAGTCCTGGTGTTTGAGTGCAAATATGTACATTTTCAGGGAGTGTTTATGTTCTAGACTAACAGCTTTCCTAAATCAACATATACCCACAGCCCACACTTGCCGGCTCTCCCTATCAATCAGGCTGGAGGCAACTTCCAGCAGTGGATGTCCTTGCTGCTCTTGTGGGAGAGCAAGTATGGATGCTGTCCATCTGAAACCAGGGGTGCCACTGCCATCAGCACCTCAATTCTGCATGTTTTTGTTTGGCCACGCTCTGGGGGGATCCACCATTGCTGCCTGGGCACCTCCACTCCTTTCTCATTTACTCACACAGCATCTGAGCAAAGAGCCCGTGGACCCAAAGCTCCCTGTGCCTCTTGCATCCAGCGGCACAGAGCATTTACTCAGCTTATTTAAACACTCAACACAAGTTTGGCTGTCTCATGAGCCTAAAAAGTTATAAAAGTGATGTTTCTGCAGTGGTGTCTTTGATGAGCCAAGTTCAGGTAGCTCAGCTAGGTGATGGTAATGTTTGTGCGGCAGTAAATACCCCCTGAATTTGCTGTGTTATTCTGGGTTTGACCTATCCAGGTATACATGAAAAAGGATCAAAATCTGGAGATGAAAACAGATGCTTCCCATTGAGCAATGGTGTAAATGTGCAATTGCTCATCAAAACGTTTAAAAACCACATCAGGATGATGTGCCCAAACATAGCTACCTTGGATAATTATACCGATGGACTCCGTACTGACCTGGCGGAGTCCAGCGTCGGCGTGGAACGCCGGGGCCGTGCAATCTCCTCACCTGCGGCACAGGACGGACAGCCCAGGATTAGAGCCGTTCCCCCACCTGCCCCCTAAGCATCACCCCCAGCCCACCCGGAGGCTGCGCTGGCAGGAGGGCTCACACCAGGCGTGCCACTGGCACAGCACGTGTCCCATCCCACACCGGCTATGGAGCTGCTGGCACTAACAGCTCTGTTTTATTAACTCAGATTTTATTTCTGTAGAGAGATAGACTAAGGAGCTGCACTGTTTCTATAGGGTACCCCAACGATGTCCCATATGACCTTCTTTAAGGAAGACATTTGGGTGCCATCAGTTCTGCCAGGACCACTTTAAAGCAAACCTAAACTCCTCGCACTTTTTTTTTCCCCTCCCCAAAAAACCACCACCACACTGCCATAGCTACCACTGTTCTTGAAGGCTGCAGAACATACTTACTGGATAAATTCCTTTTAATCGTCCCCTAGAATTAGAAACACACAAGGTAAGCAGAATGCACAGGGACACAGGCGCATAGCAATTGTCACCCAAGGAGGAACACAGCAGGAGCAAAGCAGCCCAGCAGATGTGGCAGGAATTGCCTCTCTAGGGTGATATTTACTGTATGCGGCTGAAATATGCCAAGCTGCACATGTGCGTTGTGAAATCCCATTCACTCCCAGCCTACAGGGAGCAGAAAAACCCTACTGAGAAGATTTTGAGCCACATAAAGCCATCACCTGGCAGCGCTGCCTTTGCGGCCGTCCTGACTGTGAGTGGCTTACAGGAGTCACTGGCACCCGCACCCCATTAGAAGTGGCATAAATCCAAAATCCTCACGTTTGATGGGCTGCAAATCGATCTAAGCCAAATAACCTATTTTCAGCAATCTAAATCCTCGCTCTTGCCACACAACACATACGTGCCTGCATGCAGCAAAAGCCAAACCGCCCCAGACCGCAGGAGCTGGGGCTGCATGGCAGAGAGGGAAGTGGGAGCCCTGCCAGAGGGGGACAGGCAACAGGGACTGCGAGCACTGTGGCTCTGCCTGCACCAAGGGCAGGGTCTCCAGTGGGTTTGCAAGGATACAGGTCAAGTGGTGGAGGATGCCTATCATCAGGGACTCCTTTGCATTGGCTGGGGGGACAAGATCCCACCATCACCTGGGGTCACACAGCAGGGCAGCTAGCAGCACCAGTACCCCACTGCCCTTCCCCTGTGCTCACCACTTAACCCCAGTACAGACTCAGACCCCCACCAGCACCCCCATTCCCAGAGCGGCAGGGGCAGAAGCAGCGAGCGCGGGTGCTTACCGGGCTGCGCCGCTGCGGTCAGCGAGAAGGAAGAGAGAAGAGACACCTGGTCAGAGAGCGACAGGTCAGCGCCCCAAGTCCCCCAACGCCCATCACACCCCTCCATCACAGTTTCACAGGCCACAGCGGTGCAGCGCTGGCTGGGTTTCCCCTCCACGCAGCCCCCAGCCCCGGCACCCGCTGCTGGGAGCGCAACATCTTGCTCCCACGGGCTAGTGGGTCACCCCGGCCACGGGGCACGAGGTGGGTGGAGAGCAGCGTCCAGAAGAGACTCCAGAGGGAACCCAAACCCAGTGGAACAGGTAAATTTCCGCATTTTTGGGCTCAGAACAGCCTGAAGCCCAGTTCTCTCGGGGAAGCCATCACCATTGCATACAGTGGCATCAGAGGTCATCAGCCACTGATGGGTTTTTCTGCTTTCTCATACCTTTTGATGTGCAATGACATACCTCAGATAAAACTGTGCCCTTATACATCTTGTCCAAAACCACCATTTTTTTCACCCAAACTATACCCTCAGACTGTGTACATTCAAAGCAAAGAGAGCCTAGCTCTATTTTAAAATGCTCTAAGTTAAATCAAGGGAGAAGCAAAATAGTAAACACCATGCCTTCCAGAATGGGAGGATTTGTTATTTGCATTTTACGTTTCAGCTCTAGAGACATGCAAAACAGGGACCATGCAAACAAGAGAACACAAGACTGTGTTAAAAAATTATAAGAGATAAAAAACTGTATTTCTTACCGGACTTTTCCTCTAAAAGAATGCAGAAGAATAAAAAAAGAAAATGAGAATATAAGATATTTTCTTTAAAGGGATAATACAGAAATAAAAGATTTGTATTACGACCAGAAGCATCAGGTCTATAACCGTTAAACATACAGCAAAGCAGAGTTGTGTGTGCATCCAGCCAGGCTGTCATTCATTCAGACAGAAGATTGGAGCAAGAGAGAGTATATAGAAATAAAAACCTGCATCTGAGCCATCTTATGGAAAGGATTCACATGCTTTGTCATTAGTGGGCCCTGCTAGATATAGACAAAGGACATTTCCGAGCCTGTTTCATTTCTTGGAAGGGCCCATATGAGAAGAAAGTCTAAAGCACAATTTTACCCCTAAGTGCTTAAATTTAAGGCTATTACTTATCAGCTTTGCCCGGTGACTATTTTTTCAGACCACTACAAAGCCCCTGCTCCTGGGGCTGAGTTTCTCGTGCTGCAAAGAGCGAAGCGAGCAGGACCTGCCGATAGGAAGGAGCAGGGAAGAGGGTGGGAGGTCTGAAGATGTCAGGCTGTTGCTGGTACGGTACGTGCACGGGCAGGTTGTACCACCACCTGCATACTTCTCAAGAAATGAGACCTGAGTTATTGGGCTTCAGACAGGGGATGCAGCTGACACCAGTTTACAGGAGCATCTCCAGTTTTTTTCTTGTGTTCAAGTTAAGGCACCATAATTGACACCCCAAAGGGATAGGGAGGACAGTGCCTATGGACACTGCATCTCCCATCCCACTGCTCTCTTCCAAGAGAGGCTGGTGCACAGGAGGGACAGGGTGCCAGAGCAGGGCTCTGCAGCTGGTTGTGGAGAGGAGACGAGCCCAGGACGAGGTCAGGGACCCAGACAGAAAAGCATGGAACTCCCATGGATGCAAAACTCCTTCAGCCAGCTCCTGCCTGGGGCACTGGTGCTTTCCTGGACAGCGGGGCCAGTGCCACTTGCCAGGACCTGGTGCGCAGGGAGTGCCCAGCCACTCAGCAGTGGCACCGTTCACCTCCCCATCTGCGCCCTTTGGCTCCATACACCAGGTTTTGGATCCTAATACAGGGAAGCAGCATGGTTCCTTCTGTCCAGCCTGGCACAGGGCTTTTCCCTGAGCCATTTGAGTAGGAGTACGTCTGCACTCTTTTACAAGAAGGCATCAGCTCCAGCCCCGGGCTGTGCTCTTCCAGTGGTGGCCGGGGACAGGGATTTCCCCGAAGCAAAGCACAGTATCCCAACCCAATGCCCAAAGAGCAGGCTTCGGACCGCACCACGCTGACACACACAGGCATGCTCACCAGGGGCTAAATCCTTCCTAACTGATGACAAAACTCCCCCCAGCCTCAGCAAGAGGAGACACAGAATTATATCTAGCAAAATGCACGTTTTGTGGGGTTTTGTTTCCCTGGAAAAGGAGAGGTGCAGTAGAACTGCTGGCCACATCAGCCTAATCCTTGTATGTTGGTGCAAAATTATGCAAGTGTTTCATCAATAAGAATAAATATAATCAAGGAACTTTGGACTGCTAGGACCTGAGTGTAACTGTTTGATAATTTCTTAACAGTTCTTTATTTATTGCTGGAGACAACATTGCTTTATATTTTTTGGCTAGATTCTCTGAAATGCTTACACCACAGGCTGCAGTACAGAATCAGTGAGCAGCTACTCCCCACCTCTGCCACAGCTGAGCCAGAGCCACCAGCTACACCCTGCGATGGGTGGGTGCCCTGCAGTGCCCAGAGCAGCAAATCCCCGTGGCAGCAGCCTGCTGCCAGCAAGGGATACAGAAATAAAAGCCACAAGGGAAGGAGAATACACGAAATAGACTTGGCCCCTTAAATAACTTCTTAGTGCTTTCCCTATCCCATTTTTAAAGTGTTGCACTATTTTCTCTCCTCCCAAAATAATGTTGTCTCCTACACTATATGCATATACACATGTGCACCAAACTGCTGGGGCCATCGCTTTGGAAAACCAAAATTAGCTTGGTTTCACAATAAGAAATTCTGGGGTTTTTTCCCCTCTCGATCAAAATTATCCACCTATTTGGCAAATAATTGCCAGTCTCCAACACCACCCCCCCCTTTTTTGCTGAATTTTGGTGGGGAGTTTTTGGTTCCTTGAATGCTATCAGCCAGAAACTCCCTGGTCACAGGGCAAAAAGCATCCAGAAGTGTATGTTGCTAAAAGGGACCAAGGATCAGGGGGAAGCAGAGCTGTGCCAGAGGGACTTGGTATTTCCAAGGACAGCCACTTGTCCCAGAAGCTTTCATTAAAATTGGTGACATTGTGTTGGTTTGGAAAGAAGAAATAAAACACAGTAATTTTATTTCCTCTTTGCTTAGAGTTTGAGATTCATTCACACTTCAGATACAGGCTAATTATAAACCATAGAAAGCTTCATCTGAAAAGACACTATAGCCCACACTAAAGCCCACTGAAAGACAAAAATCAAATCTTTTCACGGCTGAACAGATTGGGATGAGACGACAGAAATCTTGACAAGCCTTAGGAAAACCAGAGGGTGATGGTATTTATACCCGGAGGGACTAAAGAGAGACAACCTTTCCTTCCAGGGACCCCAAATTCACCCCCAGGGTGAGAAATGTCCCTCTAACATCCCATAGTAGCAGTGTGGAAAACCCACAGATGCTTTCCCTGTCCCGGGAATCAGGGCAAGACACATCTGATTTATGTCCTGAATGATGATCACATTGAAAAATGAGGAAAAAGGGGAAAAAATAAGGGAATAGTATATTCTGATCTCAGTTGCTCTGTTTTATGAGCAGGAAAGGGAATTTTTAAGACATTATGAACTGAAAACATCACAACAACACATCGGAGATCTCCTTGCAGTCACATTATTGCCTCTATATAGATGAGACCCTATAAATAAGGACACAAATGCAAACATAACCATTGGCACCTAAGGAAGAGCCCCCTGCCCACTCAGGATGAGCCCTGCAGAGCACAGAAGAGATGGAAACACCAAGGACTCACCACAGGGGATGGAGAAAGTGCAATGTTGCCTATCGACGCCTTCAGCTCGTCCACTGTCGCCGCGCTCTTCAGGATGTCTTTAGCCTGCAAAGGCTTGATCTTAATGTTGAACTTCTTGTGTGCCTCCTCTTCCTCTTCGGATTCACTCGAGGAGTAGAAGTGCTTTCCTTTGGTAGGTAGAGCACAGTTAAAGAAGGTTTCCTTCTGCTGTGAGGGCAGAGCCTTGGCATTCAAAGGCTCAAGCCTCCCTGAAGACTGGGAATTAGATGTTCTGGAAATGCTTATTCCAAACGCCCTAGGGCAGGAGCAGTGTGCAGGGGCAAATCCTCCTGCTGTGCCTGTCAACGCTGTGATATTTCACTGCTTTATCCATGTGCGGGCAGAGGACATGGGAACTGGTGCTCACAGCAATAAAGCCAGCCCTGGTTTAGCCCAGGAGGTATTTGAATCAGTACCTGGGTTTTCTCCCCATTGTGACTGCACTGGCCCATCACCCACAGAAAGCCAGCATTTTTCAGCAGTGGCAGAGGAAGAAATTCTGCTTTTCCACTTACCCTCCTCCAGCTGCGAGGAGGAGGCTTAAAACCTGCTGCCAGCCTATGAACTCAGCACATGCATGGGCTCTGGCCATCAACATCTCCTTGCCCCTTAGCAGGGCATGCTATGGGAGCTGCAAACTGATCTTTGCTCATTTTGCTTTTACTGCCATGCATATCATTTCTGCCCTGAAACAGCATCAGCTGTGACAAAGCACCACAGAGCCAGCACCCACACACAGCCCTGCAGGTGCACCCACCGCAGATGGGATGGGACATCACAGTCTCCATGGGGCACCCCACTGCAGTGCTCCCCGCAATGCTCACACCTCCTCATCTTCATTTCATAGCAGTGGATCAAAGGCAATTAAAAATCACCTTCTGCTCTACTGCCTCAGGTAATTCCCTCTGGGAGTCAATTTTAGCTGTGGAGTGACAGCTCAAAAGGAAAACAAAAGGGGAAAACAAACAAACAAACAAACAAACAAACAAACAATAATAATAATAATAATAATAATAATAATGTCAGTGGCCTGCCTGTGAACCCCAGCTCATTTTACAGTTTGTAAACTAAGAGGCAAAGCCAACAATAAAGGATATAGCCTGGTTCCTCAGGTCGGATGCTGTATCCCTCCTCATCAAGCTCAGGTGAATTCTGAATAGGGCACAAAAAACCCCAAAGAATTAGGAATGCTAATTCTGCTCCTGGAAAGCTGGAGCAGCTCTTTCCTCCCACAGGAGGCGATGTCCATCAAAAGCCTGCACTGCCCCAGCCCACTGGTGGCCCCTGGGGCTGCACAGAGCAAATGGCACCCATGCTCTGGCACGGCACCCACGGGGCATTTAGCAGGGGCTGAGCACCCAGCCTCGCTGCAGATCAATTTTTGCAGTGCTCAGTTTTCACAGGTAAGATTTTGTAACGCTCAATTTTTGCAGAAAGTTTTTTGCAATGCTTGGTTGCAACCCAGGGTTTTCTCTGGGTAACTGCAACACCCTGCAGGCCCGGGCAATGCTCTCCTCACCTGCAGGGTGTTGGGCATTGGTGCCAGCCAGTTTCTGGGCAGTTTTATGCTATTTAATTAAGATGCTGGTACGAAATACATATCTGGACACAACTAACACCTGGACATCACCCAAAATGGCCACCCAGAAAGCCGAAACAGTGGCATGGGAATGCAGCCCAGGTCCCCTGTCAGGAGCCACGTGGGTGGACGGCAGGGAGGCTCCTTGGGACACTTACATATCTGTCCCAGTCGATCTCCGCATAAAATCCATTCGGGGCTCCATTCGTTTTCTTCTGCAACACATCGGAAAACAAAATTTCCAAGTTTTAAATTAAGGAAACAAGAACACAGCATACTTTATATGTGTGCATTGACACAGCTGGGATGCCACTGAGTATTGCTGCAGGTGCCTGCGCAGGCAATACGGAGAACCGCCCGCCCTGCACGTGCACGTCAGCGATACACAGTAGCATTTCCCATTTCTGGAAGGTCTTCCATTCCAGAAAGCTAAAAGGCTTTTTTTGAACATTCATTAGCTGAACATATAATATTTCTTAAGAAAGAGAAATTAAATGGCTATTTCTCTGCGTGTTGGGGTGTTCCAGCCCATGAGGAGAGCTGGCAGCAGCAAGGGCTTCCGATGCCCATCGAGCACAGGTAGCACTGCCATTTATTGGGAGGTAAACACCTTCCCCAGAACACACTGAAAGGAGGATACTGTTTCTGTTATTCAGTAGCCAAACCACCCGCAGAGCAAGCCAGGTGTCATTGCTTCACTGTGCGGTGAAGCTGGGTTGCAGCAGTGAGAGGAGTCCGGGCTAACCCAGCTGGGATGCGGCATTAATGCACATCACAACACACCAACAAACACACACACGTTTTTGCTGCTTCGGACCAAGGAGGGTCTGCGTTGGAAGGAAACTTTGGGCATCCATCGCCTGTGAGACCTTTTGCTGGTCAGCTCTGGGCATCCAAAAAATCCTCGAAGCTCCCACTGGCCACTGCAGCCAGCCAGCAGTGTTGCAAGGCCAGCTTGGGGACTGAAGTTAGGCTGGGTTCTCTATGCTGGGCACCTAAATTAGATAATCTGGTTCCCTTCAGCTGCCAGAGGTAGCCCCCCCACCTCAGCACCCTGCCAAGGGTCTAATGCAATACACCATCCTGGGGTAGCAGCAGCACAGGGGCTGGATCAGGCCACCAGCACCCGCGCCCTCCATGTTTTGCCCGACAGTCCTCATGATGCTGCCCAAGAATGGAGCAGCCTCATTAGAGGTACAAGGGTGAAAAATCAGACTCTCAATGCAGTTATGTGGGACTTCTGCTTTTCCCCCAGTCCATTTGTATTTAACCCATTTCTATTCAACTCATACATCCACCTGACCCAACCTAAATGGTATTTTCCTATATTCTGGATTTCAAAACAAAAATTACTCACTGTTTTTAACAACCCTTTCATAGCTGTAAGCCAAGCTCTGTTTTCCTTACCAAAATTTTTTTTCCTCCTTCACGCACACTCTCGGGTTTGCTATTGCAAGGTGGCTCATTGGGATGAGGGCTGGGTGGCTGGAAGGGATTGGGGTTTGGCAGAAAAAGGGTTAAAGTATCAGGTGGTTGTTGGTTTTGTTTGGTTTTTTTTGTTGGTTTTTTTTTTTTTAAACACACAAAAATAAGTTACAAGGAATCAGCAAACACACTGCACAGTTTTATAAGAAAAGGAGGGCTCAGCTGTGGCTCCCCTAGGAGTAAGCGTAGTTTTTTACTGGGGGCAGGTAACAGGGCTCTATTCAGCAGTCAGAGGATTTGCCTCTTGTTCTCACCATAACATTTGCAGCCACTGGAGTGGCCATGTTGTAGGAGCAAGATGTCTCCATCCTCCAGTTCCCCTGCCTCCAATACATTCAGTGGCTTCATTACACCCCCTAAAAATTGCATTTCTGCATCCTTCAGCTTGCTGGAGCACTGGAGACCCTGTCCTGCCCTGCACCAAGCTTAAATGGCAAGCCACCTGGAAAATCAAGAATAGGAGCCTGATTGAGAGGGCACCCAAGCTCACCCAAGGTACCTGCACCCATGCCTGGCAAGAAAAGGCTGTCCACAGCACTTCTGCCGGTGGAGGGAACGGCTCTGGGCTGCTCCTTGCATTTTATTTATTTATTACTGCTGAATAGAGCCTTGGTTAAAGCACTACCTGAGCTGCAGATTTTTTTAATTGCTATTTCTTAACAAGTGGCTTACAAACACAGGGTGAGCCCAAAGCCAAGGATCTTGGGTCAGATGTCAAAAAAGCAATCTCTCTAAAGGAGCAATTTGGGACCCCAATTTTTGTATGGCTTTGTAAAAGACACCCCAGCACCGCTCTCCCTGCTGAGCCTCACAAGGGTCTCCCATTTTTATTTTAAGGTGAGCTTCTAACATCTGAATTTGCTCAAGAAATAACGACCATCACAGTCCCAGTCTGAGCCCAACATACTTATTTGGAAACTTGAAATCAAATGGCTAAAGGAGATGTGGTCCATCTACTACCCAGATCTAGCAGGGGCATTTCTATACAACACCATAAATAAAAGCAGCAATAATTCAAAGACAAGTATCTCCTTATTTTCAGTTTAATATAGAAAATAAAAATAGGTATTGGAAACAGCTGTTCTGCCAATTTTCCCTTAACTCATTATACAGCAAATCTGACCCAAGCCAATTAGTGGGAGTAGAAACGAGGATGCGGAGCCAGGGGTTTTAGCAGGACACCTGGTCCCTCTGCCCACGGCACTTGTCAGGTGTTTATTGTTATTTTCTTTACTCTAATTTTGTAGAAAACGTGAAATACGTCATTATTTTAAACAGACAGCTTCTTACTGAAATTTATTTTCTATATTAAACAGAAAGGAAGAGACAGTTCACAAAATGCTGATGGTGGCTGATGGAGGAAATAGCATTTAAGGGGTCGCGGCAGGAGAGGAAAGTGGGACCGGGGTCCGTGCAATACTTACGATGCCGTCCCTGTCTGGTGACCCTCTGCAAAGAACAGAAAGAAATGCAGCCGTGTTAGCTCCCAAACTGCACCATCCCCTGATTAACCTGTGGAAATGGTTTTCTTGACAAATCCATAGCAGCAATGGTTTTAATTATGAAATTGTCAGCAAATGTGAATTACCTGCCATACACTTCTCATGAAACCCACACAACGGTCTCAGTACCATTGCTCTCATGTTATCAGAGTACAAATTTTATATTTATTAGTAAATAAAGTGCTCCTGCCAATGATCTCACTCTCCCAGCTGAGGAGGTGGGCTGGCTCCTCCTTGCACCTGCCCCACAGCCCTTCTCTTGGTGTGCGTCCTCTTGGAGACAATAAAAATTACACATAGAGTAATTTAGAGACTTTTCTGCCAGAAACCCAGTCATTTCTCTTATGAATGGATTTGAAAACTGATGAGACTCCTTAGGGATCCTAATCCCCAACCGCTTATGGGATTTGGACCTCAGTCACAGAAGACGGCATGGCAGGGGCAGCAGCCATATTTAAATGCTGCCTAAGGATGCTAAGTTATTTAGTGAAAAGACAAATATGTTTATGAAAACCAGACGTGCTCCTCCACCTCCCACATGCTCCCGAGTTTTATGCATTGCCAGAGATTTGCCGCGAATTAACGACTGACTCAGGGCATCATCAAAACTCTGCAGGGAGCTGCTGCCCATCCGACTCCGGTTTAACAGAGGGTAACGCTTTCCATTGAACCTCTCCAATTCATACACATCTGCCTCCCATCTCTCTTATCTTGCATTTCATCTCTTTGCTCAAATATTTCTGAAATTTTTTGGAAGTAGCAAAGATCCCCCCTGGTTCCCCTACGTGCAGGGAATGTCACCTCCTGCTCATCTCCCCAAAGCCCAGCCAGAAATAGTTGCAAAGACCTCCAGTCAGTGGAGGGAAGGGGGTGGCAGGTCCTTCACCACTGCGCTGCATCCCACGCATCCTGCATCTCCCCAGAAGCCAGGCAGCAGCTCCAGAGACCCCACACCATGGTGCCCACCACCAGGTCCTGGGGGTGCAGTGGCCCAGCTGTGGCTGGGGGTGACCAGAGGGTCTGTCTGAGCCCACTGTCCCTCGCTGCTCCTCCCGGCCTCGTGCCGGCTGCCGATGGGGGATTTGGAGAGCATTCAAAGCTATTCAGGGTGATGACCGTGATGCGACCCTGTGACATGCTAATCACTGCTGCTTGCTAATTGCAGCATCTCCCCCACAGTGGCCTTTCCGTGAGCTCGTTACCATCACGAATGCCCTAGGATTCATTAGCTCCGTGTGTCACCAGCTTCCTCAGCCTCTAGGAAGAGCAGGGCTGCCAAGCAAGTGTGGAAATCACGGTGCTGGCTAAAGGCAGGACCTCGACATGGCTCCATTGATTTGCCGTGAGCAGAAGAGGAAGATGCGAAGCAGCTTGTTTCCTGCCCATCCTTCTGATAAATTATAAATAAAGCCATACGTAGCTGGAGCAGGAGTTCCTGGCTGTCCCGCAGCCTGCATGGCTGGTGAATGGACAGCCACCATTCCTGGTGACAAGCCCCCCTCTGCCAGCAGGACAACAGCTCAGTGCTGCACAGCCCTCTTGGGATACATTCCATGTCTCCCCCGTATTTTGGGGCCCCTTTTTGCAGCGGGCAAAACCCTGCAGGTGCTGGTACAGCCGGGCTTGCCGTGGCCCTGGGAGCATGGCCAGAACTGGCCATGGCATGGTGAAACCTCACCAACGGCTGCTGAGATGTAAAATAGCTCAGGAAAACAAATTAAAAAAAAAAAAAAAAGAAAAAACCCACAGGGTTTCTGCTGTGCCAGACATTAAGCACCCGGATGATGCTGCCAGTGCGGGAGCGGGGCTCCCTGCTGCCTTTCACCTGCTCCGTCCCCAGCACACAGGCTGAACAGGCTCCTTTGCCACACTGCTTTGGGACATCCCTCCCAAAGGCACATCAGTGGCAGCTGAGAGCCCTCCCTGGGCTGGGCTTGACGCCCTGCCAGTGGTTCTGCACCCATGCACAGCATCCCCCACCAGATGTGGGGGAAAACCCCACCAGATGTTTTCCCAGGAAGCAAAAGCATCTCTTACAGGAAAGCCGAAGGAGCACGTGCTCCATAAGCTCCATGCACTCTCGCCATCCCCAGCCTGCCCCAACCACACAGCTCTACAACCCTTCACTCCACTGACGGCCTCACTGCCTGCACAGGCATCTGTTTAAATTGAATTTGCATCTAAATATCTAAGCAGACGGGCAAATCAGTAGTTTGGGCAGAGATTAATCTGCTGAAACTCCCAGAGGAGTAATTTTCTTGTGATCACTGCTAACTGTCACTGTAAATTGCAAACACGTGGAGAACTGGCTTTATTATCTCTGCAGCGCCACTGAGAAAATACCTTATTTGTTGGCCACTGGATGTACAACGGGAAACAGCTTAAATGTATTTGCTATTACAAGACTTGATCCAAGGATGACAAATGTCTATGATGCACCTACTTCCTTCCTGTCCTGGCACACTGGCATCAACTTCTCCCCAGCATCATTATATATTAACGTGGTTTATATCTCATTGACTTACGTGGAATCAGTATCCTTTTCTTTCTTGCGTATACCAAAGGCCTTCCTTGTACGTTTTTTCAATCCTGTGGATAGAAGGAATATAAATAAGAATGCAATATTAATATCATGCTTCTAATAAATCCTGCAAAATGTTCCTTATTCCCTTGTCAACTGTAATTCATAAATAAGGTTAAAAAAGAAAGACCCAAACCCAAGAAACTGCCAGCAGGACTTTGCAGGTGGTGTGTACATTTGCTTATGCCTTTTATTTGTTCACTTAGCACTTATTAACTTGATCTCAGCGTGTGTGACTACATATTTCACAGTTAATATTTCTAACCTTACTGTCTTAATTATACACTCTTTTGCTGTGCTGCATGTGGGTACTAAGGCACAGTGGGGAAACCCCTCTTTGGTGCAAAAAAACAACCAACCAAAAAAAAAACAAAACCAAAAACAAAACCACAGTTTAAACCACGAGGCTGGTTATTTTCTGCACTGACTCTTGATCTGTATAGTGCTTAAAACCACACCTGGCACCAACGATGCTGGAGCTGGCTGGGAAGGAGGAAGCCCCAGGAGCCATGGAGCCCATCGGGGCAGTGGCCACCGCCACACCACTTTTAAAAATAGAGGGAGGAGAGTGGGTTTCTGCAGGTTTCTCCCTCTTTTCCAGCCTAAGAGCTATCCACAAGAGGGATTTTTAATAACCGCTTGCAGCAAGCACACCAAGGCAGGCATTTGGAGCATTTTAAGCTAGCACGTTTCACTTGGCTGGCTGGTTTTCACACAAATGACTCTGCTGGCAGTGGCCGTCCAGCCCGACCATCGAGACCTGGCTGTGGTTGGAAGCTGCTCTCGTGCTGGATGCTGCCAGGCACACTCGTCATATAATCACTGCCAGCAGCACAATAGCAATTAATTTAGGTCAGGGTGCAATACAGAAGTCCTGGTGGCCAAAGTAGCCAATATAAACCATGGCCCTTGAGCACAGAACAGCCATTTTTGGCCTCTTCGTTTTGGAGCTCCTAGGAGTTTTGCTTTGGTCTGGAAGTCACCCAAATGTGAAGCACCGTGGGTCAGACACAGCAGACACAGCTGCAACGATGCAGCAATGGTCTGGAGCAGCAATGCAACAGATCACACTGATGCAACGAGCTGGCCTGCAGCAAACAGCCTTATCAAGTGCTCAGGAACCACAGCAGGTCTCTGCTCAACAGCAGCTCCTTCCCCAAAACCTCACAGAAAGCAGAGCCGAGCCATTGCCCAGCAAATAGGGACCATCATTAACCACAGCCCAGGGCCTGCCGGCAGGGACGTAGGAGAGGAGAGGCAGGTCTGGCAGCACCCATGCTACCCTGACGCCTCCTTGCTGGGTGCCCAGCCAGCCCTGCAGGGAGGTCTGCCAAGAAGCCATGGGCACCTGCACAGAGTCCAGTTGTGTGGCAAGGAGACAGCTATGGTGTGAATCTGCAGGAAAGATGAACACGCTGCCATTAGGAGTCCTGTTAACCACCCCTGTGCCTGCACAGCCCCACTGCTGCAAGGCTTCCCCTCCCCGATGCAGCGTGCAATGATTTTCAAAGGTGGAGACAAGGCTCAGTGGCACAAACCAGGGTTATCACGACTGGGACACAGCTCACGCAATGTGCGCCATACCAGAAACACACACTTATACTTGTGCTGAAACCTGCTTTCTTGAAAAATACTATCTAGGATTCAATGAAAAAACCTCAGGCTTCTACCCTGAGGGATGTGCTGAAAGAGCCAAATCTCCTGCGGCTCCCCTGAAATCGGCTCTGGACACCCCAGGAGCACTCGTCCCTGGAGCTATGTGTCCCAGCACAGTCTGTTTGATTGATGCTTTTCAGGGAGACTGGGTTTCTTTGGTCTGCCTCCTGCTTTGAACATGCCCTTGAATTGAAATTATTTTCCATTTTCCCAGGAACATCCTACTCTTCTGGGCATTGACTGAAGCATGCAACAAGCACACAAATGCTAGCTTTCTGCAGCACATAAAAAACCAATGGATTTAAATTATATTATCAAAATACACGTGGGATGCTTCAGGCTTTCGATACCCTATGGCTGGGGGGTTTTTCACACCAATGCTAGGACTAAGGCAGCCAGGGTAGGACCAGGAGAGGCTCCAGCAGGTCTCCTTGGTATTGCTCATAGAGCTTTTAGGTTGGACATTTCCCCCCATGAAATGGGAAACAAAGGGACTGCTCCTGAAACATCACACCCAGTGCACTTCCCTAGTCTGCCCAAAGCCAGCCTTACATGGTCAGGGATGATCCCAGCCTATTGGATCCATACACTCCCAGCTGCTAAGGGCAGCACAAGCAGCTGGGAGTGATGTTGAAACCCACAGGTTCATCCTGCAGCCTTGGGCAGACAGCTTTGTTTTTACTACGTCTTGCCTTTCAGCTTTCCTACAATTTCTTCAAGACTCACTTGGAGTTATTAATAACCGAGGAAGGTTTCCATTGATCTCACCCCCTAGAATAACTTCATTTTCCAAACTCAAAGTAGAACAGGGAGGGCCGAAAACCCCAGAAATGAGTTGTTGTTTAGTCTTATCTGAAGAAGCACCCAATTTGGCTAAATTTTGTAATGAAGACTTCTGCTCAGTTATATAATAGGCCCACCATCTGCTTAAAATGGTAATGATTGAGGGGAAAAAGGGATATTTAGAAAAGGCAGAACAAAAATGAAAGCTGCCTTTGGAGACGGTTGTCAAGAGCCGTCGGGAGCTGAACCCCATCGCCCACACTGGGGCCAGGCACTGGCTGCTTGTCCCCTGACGGTGACACCAGAGAGGTCCACAGATTGGTGGGGGACAACGTGGTGATTTTCCAGGACAGCTCTGCTTTCAGGTGGCTGCAACTGAGAGGAGCTCCTGCCTCCCTTGGCATGGTCAACCCCAGCCCAGAGAGCTGTTAAAAGTACCCCGTTTGATGGTGCAGGGACAGAGCTGAGGGTGGTGCATGAAAGGGCACTGCACGCTCTGGTCCTCAAGTCTCATTTCAATGGGTTTTAGGAACTGAAGCACCATAAAACCAGTCCTGGCAAGAGTCATCCTTACAAAAAAAAAATAAGACCGTGTCCACAGAGGGAATGATACATGGAAACACTATAGGTTCAGGGAATCCTCACAGGACAAGGCAGATTTACTGCTGGAAGAGAAAAGGTGATGGTAAGTGGGAGAGAAAGCAGAGAAGAGGCAGTGAGGCAGCAGAAAGACAGGCACGAAAGAAGAAAATAGAGCATATCCCTGCATCAAGGGATGGCTCAGAGCAGGGAGGAGCTGAAATCACCACTCGGGTGATGCTCTCTAAAGCAGCACCTAGCATGGAGATCAAATCCCACCTCTCCCCATCAAGAAGTACTGGGTACCAGATCCAAACCACTCTCCAGTGGGAAGACCTGGAGAGCTGCATTGCCATGTACTGGGTGACACCAGCACAAAGGGCTGCATGTGTCACCTGAAGACACAGCCCACTCCTTCAGCTGTCCCCACCCTGTGCCCAGCACTGCTGGGGGCACCTGGGTAAGACACCCAGCTGTTCCTTGCTCCTCCAGACAGGTTCCCTTGCAGGTCTCCAGAGGCAAGGATTTCCTAAAGCCCTGAGGCACCCCACCTTGCTGCACAGGTCGTACGTGGCACGCTGGGAACATGTCTCCTTTGACCCATACTAACTCTGCCCAGTAGTGCCACAGCCTTCAGCCACCAAAATCCCATTGGCTACAGGACTACCAGAGGTGTCAGAAAACTGGGAATGAGGTCCCAGGCCACCATAAGTGCCAGAGTGATAAAGATGGGTGTGATGCGGTACCGGGCTAATGGCAGCACCAGACAGGAAGGGTTTTAAACCCTGCAACTATTGCCATCCTAGCCCTCTCCCCATCCATTCGCCCCAGCGACTTCCTACCTTACTCATAGGAGGAACATTAATGCACTGAAGTATGTAACATTAGTAATTACAGAAGCTCCTACCTACATTCCTGAAGCCTTCTCCCTTTTGTCACATCCAAAATACAAGGAAAGACACACCTCTGCAGGCTGCCCAGCACTGTGGAGCAGGCAGTATGTCTCTGTTTTAATCTCAGCTTAAAACTGTGCTTTGAGGTGGACAAAGGTCACGACAAAGCTCGAGCTTTACTGCTGGTTTCATAGCACCAGGGAAGGCGGGCAGGCATGCCTTCCCACCAACAGCTACTGCATTCCTCACCACTGTTTTAAAGATTAACAGCTGATTTCATTCTGCACAGTTATTATGTGGCTAAAGCAGAGGTGGGCTGTCCCCAGTCTCCAAGCAGGAAAGGCCATGCATTACCCTCACCAGCAGTTTAGTTTAGGTTCTTTGAAGGGGCAGAGTAACACCAGTATGAGCCCTCAACACATCGAGACATCACAAGCATAAGCTGGAGAAAACACCAGCAATGGCAGCACCAAATACCGCACCCGCACATCCTGCTCAAGGACCAGCATGACACCCTTCTTCTGGAGGAGAGATTAGACTAAAATGTTTGTGGATGGATGTATTTGACATCTCTGCTGTCTCCTTCAGCAGGTTTTCCTCAATGAGCCTCATGCACAACAGCCCAGAGTCATTCATGTGGCATTACCTGCATGGCAGTGAAAATGCCTAAAACCACATCAATAGCCACAAAACTAGTCTTGCCCGCAGAGGACGAACATGGGGAAAGCCACCGGCTCCTCCAAGGTACAACAACTTCACATGCTGCAATTAGTGCTCAAGCCAAATGGCTTCAAATGCTCTCACTCAAAGACTCAGAGTAGCCACAAGCCAAGGCTAAACTAATCATCGTGTGCCAGGGATCTCATTCCAAACACAAATGGCTCTCTGAATCAGGGGCATTATTCACCTTTTATTTACTATTATCCTTTTTTTTTCCTGGTATACCTAAGAATTGGCATCTGAGAAATACAAATTAGTATTTAACACTATGAAGCTTTCTCAGCTTTATTCTTAAAAACTATGAACATCTTATTTTCTATACTGAAGACTTAACACCTCTACAAGAAAAATAACCCTGTTCTCCCAAACCAAGTCCC